CCCCGCCGCTGCGTGTTTTGTTCCGTGGTCGCGGGGAAGGGGGCCGCCCAGCCCCGCCCGGCTCCGGGAATCAGCGGCGGGATGGGACTTGCTCTGCGCTGGGAGACCTTTATCACACCCGGGAGGGGACAGGGACGGGCTGGGAGGCTGGGAGCTGCCCCCGCCGGGAACCGAGTCCGGCCGGTCCCTGGTGCGCTTCCTGCCGAGTTTTCCCACCTGCCCCCGGGCGAGAGCTCCTTGGGGGAGAAACTGCTGGCAGTGGTCGAGTTACCGAAGAAGCCAGTGTTGCAAAAAGAGCAAGGACACCAGTTTTGGACAGAAGCAACAAACAAAAGAAAACGGAGAAAGAAAGTATTCTTGTTCTTCTTTAGATCAGCAGCAGAAAAAACTTTTATTGGTGTTAGTTCTTGTGAACCCTGCCTTCTAAATACCAAGATTTATTTATCATTTATAATCAGCTCAGCTCGCGGGAAAATAACCCACTGCACCCAGGGTTCTGTTCCAAGACACTCATTCAATCAATAATTGAGCACCTGCTAAGCTCCAGGCACTGAGTCAATGCTTGGGGCGTGCTGGCAACAGAAAGATCTTCCTGCCCTGGTGGGCCTGACTTTCTGGAGGGGATTGGGGGCAGGTGCCGGCAGCTGCAAACAATCACAGTGTGCATACACACTTTCTAACTAAAAGCAGTTCATGGCGTTAGTCACGTCCTTGGCTGGAATTTTTCCCTAACAGCGGTCAATCTTTGCATCTATGATAACATACCTGATGACACACCTTTGGAATGTCAAAGTAATTTCCTTTTTTCCCAGAAATTGTCAGTTTGGCTCAAATAAACTCATAAAAATTCTTACAGGTTTGGACATTGTTTAAAATTTTTTTTTTTTATTGGTTTCAGAGAGGAAGGGACAGGGAGGGAGGGAGAGAGAGAGAGATGTGAGAGAATCATTGATGGGCTGCCTCCTGCACGCCCCCTACTGGGGAGTGAACCCGCAACCCAGGCATGTGTCCTTGACTGGAATCAAACCCAGGACCCTTCAGTCTGCAGGCTGATGCTCTATCCATGGAGCCAAACCAGCCAGGGCAGGTTTGGACATTTTTTATGTTGACACTACACACCAAGGCTATGTAATATAGCCTATTGCTTCTAGGCTACAAGCCCATACAACGTGCTACTGTACTGAATACTCTTGGCAATGATGACACACTGGTAAGTATTTGTGTATCTAAACAAAGAAAAGGTACAGTAAAAATATGGTATAAGAGATAAAAATTGGTACACCTGTATACGGCACTTACCATGCATGGAGCTTGTAGGACTGGGAGTTGCTCTGGGTGAGCGAGTGAGTGGTGAGTGAATGTGAAGGTCTAGTCTAGGACCTCACTGGACATTACTGTGGACTTTATAAACACTAATACACTTGTCTACACTAAATTTAAAAAGTTTTTTTCTTCAATAATAAATTATTTCACTCACTGCAACTTTTTTACTTTATAAACTTTTTGGTTTTTGACCCTTGTGATAACACTTAGCTTAGAACACAAACACATTGTACAGATGTACAAAAATATTTTTATAGCATTCTATAAGCTTTTCCCATTGTAAAAATATTTCTTTTTTTTTTTACGTTTTAAACGTTTTTGTTAAAAACTAAGACAGAAATACACACATGAACCTAGGCCTACACAGGGTCAGGATCACCAGTATCGCTGACTTCCACCTCCATTATCTGGTCCCATTGGAAAGTCTCCAGGGCCTTAACATGCATGGAGGGGTCATCTCCTATGATAACAATGGCTTTTTCTGGAATAACCCCTGAAGAACCTTCCTGAGGCTCTTCTTAAGGAGGTGTCACTCTTTATAGAAATATGTCCATGGTGGTTTCCTTGCTTTGTTCCTTTTTTTTTTTAAATAGACTAGGGGCCCAGTGCACGAATTCATGCACCTTGAAAGGAATTGTGGGCCAGGAGGCTGCAGTGGGCACAGGGGCGGGTCTCAGCCCATCCTCCGTGCCCCCGCCCTCCTGCCAAGGCCCCTCCGGCCATAGCCCGGTTCCCTGTCTGCCGGCAGTCCCGCTCCTGCCGCTTCCACTCCCACACAGACGACAGCAGGTGCAAGTATTGGGCAGGACCCTGGAGTGCGGGAGCAAAGAATTTTCAGTAACCACCAGAGGCTTGCCCAGATGACAGCAATCGGCACCCCGTCTTGGTCTGGTGCCCCCGCTCACCTGCCCCACCATCCCTCTACAGCCTGTGCCCACCATGTTCCACACTCTGCTGCCTGCTGCCAACGCCCAATGCCATGGTTCCGCGCACCCCCTGGTGGTCAGCGCACATCATAGCGACCGGTTGTTCCGCCATTCAGTCTATTTGCATATTAGCCTTTTATTATATAGGATTTGCTTGTAAGTAGATAATGCACCATGAACATTCCTCTCTATTAAAGAAAACCTTTTCAGTGTTGGAGGTTCATGTTTAAAAACTTAAAAAAATTTTTTTTCTCATTTTATTTATTTTTGTTTTTTTAATTTTATTTTATTGTTTAAAGTATTACAGATAGTAGTACATATGTCTCTTTTTTTCACCATTGACCTTCCCCTGGCCTCCCCTACCCCTCGGCACATGCCCTCAACCCCCCCTCCCCCCAGTGTCTTGTGTCCATTGGTTATGCTTATATGCATGCATTCAAGTCCTTTGGTTGATCTTTTACCCCCCATCCCCTCCAACACTCCCCAGCCTTCCCGCTGTACTTTGACAGTCTGTTCGATGCGTCTCTGCCTCTGTATCTATCTTTTTGTTCATCAGGTTATAATGTTCTTTATTATCCATAAATGAGTGAGTTCATGTGGTATTTTTCTTTCACTGCCTGGCTTATTTCACTTAGCATAATGCTCTCCAGTTCCATCCATGCTGTTGCAAATG